ATATATATATATATATATATATATATATATATCCTTCGAGTCCAAAGTACGAGTTGTTTTCTACCTGGTTTAGTATTGAAAGACCACGAGTACCATTATATCATAACTGTTCACATTTTGTGCATCATATGAAGAGCTTAAAGGAATGACCGTTTCGAATTACATTCGACGAACATGGGCACCCGAACAGGTGTAGCATTTACCTCACGAATAATATGGCAGGAAAAGTTTTCCCCAAAGCTTCTTGTGAATATTTTTTTTATTGTTTCTGAACGATGATATGCCCCGTCAATATTACCCGGCAGTAAAGAATTGCCACTATTACATAGTCCTATGACAAGCGATGGTGTTGTGGCTGGTACTTGCTAATGTGGTTGATATGTGCATGCCAAATATTACACAGGCGCCGATGAACTTGATGGGCCAAAACGGTATAAACTCAAACGTACCTACAATACTTATATATAGGAGTGTATGGCGAAAATATTTTCCTTACTTTAACGCATTTTATCCGGTCGGTAACAATCAGCCTTCAGGTGATTGTAATTTTGTATCACATTGAAGTCTGTATTAGGTGCCGCTTATATTACAAGCAGTAAAAAGACGGCAAACATACTGCTATGATATAAAAGACTGTTTAGTGTAGGCAGTATTAATCAATTTATTTATTTTGTTAATTAATATCTCATTATTGTTTAGTGTGTGTGTGTGTGTGTTTTTTATACTAAGAGAGCTAAAAGCAGACGATTGTTGGAAATTGTGTTTATACTTCACTGTTGTTGAGACTATCGAATGTCGCGTGCAATACATTGACTTCGAGAATATAAAGATTTCTAGAAGACGGGCAGACGATTAAGTGATAAACGTATGGAGTGTGATGATCGGAAACAGCAGACAGACAGAGGAAACTAGAGACCAGAGAACGGGAAGTAGAAATTCGGCCAAAAGAAAGGTTATAAAACGTATAGTTAACCGCCATAGGAGTGAATAGCGTAACGGTTGATACGTTAGGGTGAGATTAACAGCTTTCTGACACTTTAGGAAAATAATTTGTCTCGTCAAAGGGGTGCTCTAAAGCAATTGAACCTGCCTGTGTAGACTTTAAATAATCGTCTTTTTTTAGTATCAAAGTAGGCCTAAATACAAAAAAGCGGACGAGTATCGGAAGTTCAGAATACAAATGCAGTAACTCAACCAGGCAGAGTTAGTGAATTATACACGGAATACTAGTGATATAGTTCGTCTTGTCAACTGAATAGGCCTAAGTGGACTTATCACAAGAAGGGAATTATGCATGGTGTTTATGGCATGTCTATAATCTCTAAAATGTAAAGAATCTGTTGAAAACACGGAGTGCCTGCTGTTCATTTATCATTGACTTTATCACTAACAAGTCACAGACACCTACTGTAGAAAAATCCAACAACAACACAGTATATATTTATACTTTTAAGAAGTATAAGTAAAAGCTTTTAATTAACAATTGGTGAACATAAATTAACATCTGACACGTGCACAGTGAAAAATTTATTTTAGAAATATAATAGCAGACTACCAGCAGTGAAATAGAATTGTTTGTTTCTTGAGTTTCCCTTATAGCTACTCAATGACTATCTGTGATAGCCGTCCCTAAGTTTGAACTGCTAGACTAGAAGGAAGGTAGCTAGTTAACACCACCCACAGCCAACTCTTAGGCTTCTTTTAACCAACATACAGTGAGATTTGCAGTCATATTATAACGTTCCCGTGGCTGAAAGGTCGAGCATGTTCGGTGACAGAATTCCAAACTGCGATCCGCAGATTGCCAGTCGAGTGCCCTAAACACCAGGTCATGCCAGGCCCAATGTAGTAAGAGTACTATATTTTACGATCCGTAGCCCATTTTTCCCCCTTAAATAATAAAAAGCTTAAAAGTTAATTTTCTGGCCCCTTCTTCAGTGTCAGGAAAGAGAATATTTTATTACGATCCTCAGTCCTACCAAATAATAAAAAGCTTAAAAGTTAATTTTCTGGCCCCTTCTTCAGTGTCAGGAAAGAGAATATTTTATTACGATCCTCAGTCCAACCAATGTAAATAATTTGCTTCCGGCTCGCCTGACAATAATCAATCAAATTAATCGATTTTCAAAATCTAAGCGCGCGCGCGTGTATTAATTTGGTAAGGAATAGATCAAGTTTTTCTTACGGAGAAAATAAATCTGTAATTAATCCGCAAAACCAATTTCTCGTAGAAAACTTTGCATATATTTAGCGTTCAATCTCTCACTTCGAAAAACGAAATGAAACTCGCAAGATCTTATTTTGGTGTTGATGAAAAGTCTTCCCATAGACCTTAATTTCTAATATAAGAATGGTTTTCAACATGTTCTTGAAATCTGGGACACACTGTGCACTTAGTAGAAACAACAATAAATGTTCTTCAGATCTTTATTAGAACTTTCGTTGGTTGAAGTCTACTCAAACATATCTAAATCATTGAACAATTTGAGACAGTTACTATGAGAAGAACAAAGTATCTTATTCTTACTATTCCTTCTGTTTCGCAGTTTCTTGGTCTCATTTGATTGGATTTTAACGTTTTCGGACAATCTTTCTTTCTGATCGCTTTACCTTCAACAGGATCCTTATCGCAACTACAACGTTTGCATTTCATGCAAACGTCACCTTCCAACCTTGCATTTGCACCTAAGATTGGGGTAAACATGACTTTCGGAGAATCAGTGTATACCGACTATATTAGACTGAAAACAGAACTAATATCATAACTTACTTCGCAAAACGCAATGGATTTTCACTGAAGTCTTGACACGTACGGAAAGGATAACTCATTTTCAAATGAAACTCCGCAAGAGATGAACCGATGAGCACGACATTTATATCGTTCGAAGGTTCTAAAAGGCAGTTGAAAGGCAGTTTTCTAGGTTGTTATTGTTTGCCGAATTTTTTATGTGCAAATATTAGTACGATCAACTCCCTATTTTAGAGTTAAAAACAGCTAAATCAGTACCTACGATGTGAAAGACTTCACACGTTAAATTATGTCTGGAGAATCAAATAATGGAATTCATGCATCTAATGCTCAGACACTGGAAAATGTATACTTAACACAAAAATTACAACAGTAGCTTAATAGTTCTATCGCATAATGTGTTAAGCACATATATTTTACAGTATTTCAAAGTAATACTCTGTTGCATCATGTGTTAAGCACACTTTTTAAAGTACTACATAGCACTGTTTCACCACGTGTTAAGCGCACAGTTTAAGTATTTCAGACAACTGTTGCATCATGTTTTAACTACAGATTTTACAGTTCTTCGTGATACTGCTGTATCATGTTTTAAACGCGAATTATACATTTCTTAATAATACTGTTGCACTATGTTTTAAACACATTTTTACAAAATCGAATTATCTCATTACTTATCAAGCTCAAACCATAAAGTGATTTATAATGTTTTTGTAAGAAACACTTGTGTTGCTTATTGAAATTAATATCACTTCATGTTAGTAAAACTTGTAATTTTCCTAAAAAATTGTATCCCATAATCATCAGTAATATGCAGTTCTGCTACAAGTTTATTGCAAAATAAAAATGGTGAAACGTGTCTTTGAGAAAAACATACTATTTCCTCATCGGATTTCTTTGGCTTATCTTTTTCAAACAAAGTCCAAATACTACTCGCAAATATATACTTACAAAGTAAGCACAAAATATTAAAACAATGAAAAGCTGTACATGTTCATCGTTGTTTTTTGTTGTTGTTGGTTTTGTGTGTGTGTGTGTGTGTGTGTGTGTGTGTGTGTGTGTGTGTGTGTGTGTGTGTGTGTCTCTAGTAGTACATATATAATTAACGTTTCGTTTTCCGTCGTGTTGGTGGTAGTCGTTAGTACTTCT